TATTCTACAATTAGAATCTATTTGTTTTAGCTGAAACAGCAACAAAGTTTAAATATTAGGTTATAAAAATATTTAGCTACTTTTTTCATTAATTAGCCCATTTCTTTCATTAAGCACCTTTTAAAATGTAATACCCCCAAAATTTAAGTTGGAACAATATTCAAAAATTTTCAGTTTTAGCCAGAATTTTATAAGCAAAGAGTTATATCTCATTTTGCACACTAAGTGATCACACTGTTTCACTTCTTTTTTTTAAAAAAGAAATTCTATGCCTTGGGGCCATGGCGCAGCAGGTTAAAGCCCTGGCCTGAAGCGCCGGCATCCCATATGGGCGCTGGTTCCAGTCCCAGCTGCTCCTCTTCTGATCCAGTTCTCTGATACGGCCTGGGATAGCAGTAGAAGATGGCCCAAGTGCTTGGGCCCCTGCACCCACATGGGAGACCCAGAGGAAGCTCCTGGCTCCTGGCTTTGAATTGGCACAGCTCCGGCCATTGTGGTCATCTGGGGAGTGAACCAGCGGATGGAAGATCTCTCTCTCTCTCTCTCTCTACCTCTCTCTATAACTCTATCTTTCAAATAAATAAAATAAATCTTTAAAAAAAATAAGAAATTCTATGCCTCTATTTTTTAGCAATGCTATCGATGTATAATTCATATATCACTCATTTAAAATTTATTAAAACATTCATTTAAAGTGAGCAATTCAGGGCTGGCATTGTTAAACAGGTTACGTCTTTCCTGCAATGCTGGCATCCTATCTGGGCATTGGTTTGAGACCTGCGTGCTCCACTTCTGACCCAGCTCCCTGCTAATGGCCTGGGAAAGCAGCAGAAGATGGTCAAGTGCTTGGGACCCTGCACCCACGTGGGAGACTGGGAAGATGCTCCTGGTTCCTAGCTTCAGACTAGCCCAGCTTTGGCCGTTGTGGCCATTTGGGGAGTGAAACAGCAAATGTCTCTCCTCTCCTTGTAACCCTGTCTTTTAAGTAAATAAAAAATAAATCTATAACAAAATAAAGAAATAAAGTGAACGATGTTTTTAGTATATTCACAGTACCTGTTTCAAGGTTAAATGCGATACCCATTGTAGAAAACATAAAAACTTACGGAAAAAATTAGAGGTTCATTACACTTAATGACAGCACCAAATTAATTACTAGTCAGTTTTTCATAACTGGTTTTTCACAGGATTGAGATTTGTATTTACAAATAAAAGATAAAATGCATATACTTTAATGCACATAAATTATTTATATTTCAGTTCTACCTCCACATTCTCTTGTCTTTAAGTATACAATAAAGATGACATCATCTGAAATAGAAATATTACGAAAAGCAGAGCATTACAGGCTGGGTGGATGCATGCATTCTAAATTTAAATCCACTTTCCAGTTTAAACTAAAAACCAGATATTTATTGCTGTATTTTCTCGACCATGGGGAATTATGTTCCAACTTAAGGAAGCATTTAGACTATATAACATAAAGCAATGCAACTGTCACCATTCTTTCCCCTCTGTTAAAGCTGTAGTGTGGGTGTAAACAGGAAACTCACCTGCAGTCCATTCACAGCTATGATAAGGGCTCTTAAGATTTTTTCAGACCACACAATCACTGTGGGATTTAGGTGCTAACGTTAAACTGTGGCTCCTGGACTAGCTATGCCACCATTTTCCGTTCTAACTCTTCACAAAATTTCATTTAAGTCTTAAGTCAATAATTAACACTGAGAAAAAAAGCAAATATTTACTATCTCTCTACCAGAGTGCATTTTTCTCTTTTGTTCACCGGGTTCTCAGATTCTACATACTATAGTTTGGCTCCAGTTGCATTCTCTGTATTTCCCAGAAGAATAATGAGAAGAAAGCTCCCTTCAATGGGAAGAAGAAAGTTGGTAAACCAATAGTGTAGAAGAACGTAACCAAGAAAGCTAAGTTTGCTTTCATTTTCTGCAATCTGAGTATCAGGCTAACAATGGACCAACTGTCAACCAGCTCAATACCACCATCCACGAAAGAGCTGGCCCTCTGCTGGCTCACAGCCTCCAAGTCAGCCTTCACTCAATGGCAGAGGCAAGGAAGAGTGGACTTCACCCCACCAAGTTGTAAGTTTTCAATAAATAAAACATCACTGGGAAACTGTCCATACTCATCTCTGTAAGAACTCTTCAAGAATACTCTTCCCCTGGAGGCTAGCCTTCAGGACCTCACTAGCACAGGCTAGACACTCATACAACAAAACGCCCCACCCTCAATCCATCATTCAGCCATGCCTTTTTCCTGCATATGGAAAAAAAGAGTGAAGAACAAACAATAACACGGTTTACAGTAAAGCTGTAGGGCCAGACTCTTACAGAATTATCATCTGCTAAGTGAGAGCTGTTTCTCACATTGTAGTCGCCTTGATTCAGGAACCACACCTGTTTTTTCCCTGAAGTATTAATATTTTTAATGATCTCAATTCCATATCAGCAAACATTTTTTACAAGATAAAAAGCAGAGAAGCCACCCGTGAACACATGTAAAGGCGGAGTCAGGAGGTTGGTACCACACTGGTGTACGTTTTCCCATGTTTCCTCTCTACAATGAATCATAGTCATCAATGGCATGCTATAAAAACATGCACACTATTTAGGTATACAAATAAGTCTCGTTCAGAGTAAAATGCCAGCCCAAAGTTCAGAAATTCAAAAAACATACAGGTAAAAATCCAAGTATGAGTTATACTGAAATCTTAACTTTTCTTATGCACGGCTTCTTCTTTTATTGATTTGCCTTGGTAATTTCTGCAACAGAATTTCAGGCCCACTTCTAGACTGTGCAACACTGGTTATTAGAAAAACAAATGGTGCAAACTAAAAAAACCACAGTTCTATAAAACCTTGGTATGATCTCTGTCAAATTTCATGTGAACCCTTCTAGAAGTCTTCTAAGCAATATAGCATGTTTAAGTGCATACAGGTGTGATATAAGCTCAAGTACAAGTTTGTAATAAAAAATAAAAAATTTTGGAGAAAAGATAAACTCTTTATGAGATGAACATCATGGTTCATCAGCTTAAAGCACATAAATAAAAACTCTAATAAAAATCCTTGTATCTATGAACTACATTAAATCCGTTCTGTTTATGTTAATAAAAATATAAATAAAAAAAGAAAAAATGCTGGCTAGTCACTTTTCATTCTGTCAGAAAAAAGAATTTGAGTCCTTTAATATGGCAGCAACTGTATTAGTTAATTTATGAGAGAAGAGCCTTTCACGAAGATTTTTACAAGCACATCTGACATCAGTCATTTGCTCAATTAACCAAGTATCAGCTCTTCCTGCAAATTTTAGCATTAATTACGATGCTGTTTTGGTAATATATCTATTTTCTGCTCTTAGCTACTTTTTAGCATCATTTAACTCAGTGTAATACAGACAGCCACAAGACGCCAATTTTGCCTTTCCAAAGTGTACCTTTGTTCTTGGTTTTTTCCCGGCCTGGCACTCTAACTTGCTGTGCATGTGTCCCTTGGTTCTTTTCCCTGCTGTTATCTAAAAGCTGTGCCATACCAGTTATTATGACTCTCCAAAATACTACCATTCAGAAATTCACCCTGCACTGACAGAATTTCAAGTCACACTCCTAACGCCCCTTAGCATTTTATTTGTATTCCAATTGCCACTTGTCATTACAAAGTGGCATCTACTATGTTCCTCTTGGTCTTGGGCATCACCGCTTTCTAATTTTTGTTTGTTTGCCATTTGCGTCACACGTTCCATGTCTTACATCACAAGTGTCTCATGACTGGAAACAGGGACCATTCTCCACGCCCTTTTCTCCGCTAAGCGCAAATGACCCTCCTGAAACGCACGGCTGGCCATCTTCCTAGACAAGTTTACCTCAAGCCTCACACGAGCATCATTTACCTTAAAATAAGCGCTACTCCCTGCACTCCGAGACTGTGAGAGCTCACAGCTAAGAACGAGGGAGGAGAAACAGAGGATGAAGCCGACTCCAAATACATTATGTAGAGAACTGCCCGAGGTAAAAATAAAACAATCAATACCATGACTCTTGTTAGTGCAGCTGCTCCAAAACTTCCTGTGACATAATTCAGCACGTCATTTTTAAATTCCATTTTTCCCACTAACTTTTAAAAAACATATAAAGTATCTTCATATACACATTCAGGTTGATCCTATATAAAAATGTTCAGTCTCACAACAGTACACGCCAGAAAAAAAGAAAAATTTCAATTATTCTACTAGAGCCAATTTTTCGGGGGACGCTCCTACTCTTGGATTGTGTCAGAAACAACCAAGAAATGGATGTGTCTTCTCAGAGCACAAGAAAAGATCAACCTCTCCCCCCGGCCAGCTGCCACCACGTGAGCGAAGGACACGCGGACCACTCCCGGGTCTGCAGCGGTGCCGGGAGAGGACACGCACGACCGCGCGGGTGGCTCCGCGCATACCAGAGGCGCGAGTCACGGCTCCCGCGCAGAGGGGCACAGCCAAATTAGGCAGCGCGCCCCGCAGGCGACCTGCTGCGGGAGCGGGGGTCTCCGGGGGGGGGGGGGTCAGGGCAGGGTCAGCGAGGGGGGCGGCTGGGGCGGGGACCTGGGAGGACCCCGGGGTGGGCGGAGGGGCTGTCGGACAGCGATCGGGACCCCGGGACAGGAGCTGGTGGGCGGGGAGGCTTTGACAGCGATGCGGGAGACGGTGGCTGACTCAGACCGGGGGTCCACACGGCGCAGACCCCCGACTCGGGGCGGGGATCCCGGAAGCGTGGACCTAAGGAGCAGCGGCAGGGGTCCGGCCGGGGGCAGATCTCCGCCCCCCACTCCCCCGTACCTCGGCCCGAGTTTGGGGGGGCCAAGGGTCTGGGGGCGCGGCCCCTGACTCCGGGAGGCTGCAGCTCGGACTCGGGCCGTGCGGACTCCGCCCGGGCAGGTGTCTACACCGGGTCCGGAGCCCCGGCTCCGGCCGGGCTGGGGCGGGGCCCGCGCGGCACTCACCCAGGCCGGCAGGTCGCAGGCGCGCACCCCCAGGCGCACGGCGCGCTCCTCGTCCTCCAGCAGCGCCAGCGCGCGGCACAGGCGGCTCGCCTTGAGGCCGCGGCTCCGGCGGCACCAGGCCAGCAGCCCCAGCGCCAGCAGCACCCAGCTGAAGCTCAAGCCCAGGTAGCCGAGCGCGTACACCGGCAGCAGCAGCGCGAAGCTGCGCGCCAGCTGCGCCAGCAGCCCCGGCACGTCCACGCTCAGGGCGCCGCCGGGAGGCTCGGCCGCCGGGCGATCGCCGGCCCGGCCAGCCCCGGCCTCCGGGCTCTCGTCCTGGGCGCCGCTCATCGCCGAGCCGAGCCGCGCCGCCCTCCCCGGCTGAGGCGGGAGCGCCGCTACCGCGCCAGCGCCCCTCTGAGGGGGGACGGCGGGCGCCGTCGCGAACACGCCCGCCCGCCCCGCGCTGGGTGGGCGGGGCGTGACGTCATCACGCCGGTGGGCGAGCGCGCGGCTCCGCGGGCAGGAAGGCGCCCGCTACCTGGGGCGTCGCGCGAGTGGGCGGGGCCGACGTGTGCCGTCATCACGCGGAAGGAAAAGGGCGGGCTCCGCGAGGGGGCGGCGCCCTTCCCAGCCAGGCCATGGCGGGCGTGGCGGGCCGCTCCCTCGCACGCAGCTGGACCTCGGCGCCCGGCGGCCTGACAGTCTCGGGCTGTGTACTTTGAGGATGATAAAAACAGAAACTGGACAGCCTTCCCTGAGGGGAAGCGCGGGGCCGAGAAGCTACCGTGTTGTTCGTGCTGTATATTGCTTTTCGTTTTGCCAGTCCCTCAGCTAAGATTTGCAAAACCCGCGGCGGGACATAGGGCGCAAGGCTGAAGAATGATGGAATGTTGGCTCAAATTCGCGGGGGGCTTGGGGGGTCCCCTTTGAGATGCGCGACCCCAGCGCCGCGCCACGCCACGGGAGACTGTGACTCAGCACTGGGGTCGGGCCTTCGCTTTCCTCTTAACTCACAGGAACACAACTATTGATCGCTTTTTCATTTTCCCAGTAAATTCCATCAGCGCAGTTACAGTTGTTTTGCATTATTCTTGAAGCCAAACACAGCACTAGCGGGGAACATCCTGTTTGAATGCTCTTGAGCTTATCTCGTGAATTCTGAGCAAATTTGGGGGCAACTGGGAAAAAAAAAATTAAAAACCAGGCCATGGGAGGTACTGAATGAAGAAGACAAGTGCGGGGGTGTCTGTGCCTCCTCTCAACGTGTGCCTGCGTGATTGTGTGTGCGTCTGTGTGTGGGTGGATTATATCACGGGTGATACAGCCTCCGTGGCTCGGGAGTCGGAACCCACGCCAGGCAAGCGCAGGAAACCCAGCGGGAGAAGGAAGTGGTTAAAGTGCGATCAACCCCCTTCCCCACGCAACAGGTCAATGCTCTTAATGACGGTCTCATCTCATCCAAGGTCGAGTTTCAGTCATGTTGGATAACTGCCTTAACACAGGGAGGAGCGTGAGCTTGTCTTTTGCAGCCGTCGCTCCAAAGTGGAATCGCATCCTACAAAGCCGTGTGTCGGCACAAGGCACCTAAGGGATCCTGTATGGTCTGCGATCATGACTTGACCCAGGGACCCCGGCGGGTAGAGTAGTCATTGCGTGGTAGTCAGCCCCCGCCTTGTCACTCCCCGCCGAACTCGGTCCCCGTCCCTGTCCAGTCGGACTCGGTTCTCTGCCAATATGTATGCCCCGAAGTCTCCTGCGGCTTCTTCGTGTCCCCTGTGTCCGTTCTTTGTGTAGACAGAACTCCAAGGACAGGTGCGGCTCTCTGGGAGGAAGCTGCAATGCACAGCGAGGAAGTCTCCGCCCTTGTAGTTTCAGAGAAAAGTGCTGCTTTTCTGCCCAACTCCAGTCCTCTCTGCTTCCTTTCAGATCTCAGTCCCTGACATCTGTGCACAGTGTCGCATGCAGGGGCAGGAATACCCACTCTGCTCTCTTTGGTGCTACCAGCCAAAAATGTTTGGCCCATACTGGGGCTCCGAAAATGATACCCTAGCGTGAAGGCCTCAGAAGCAAAGTTTCTCTGATTTTTGTCCTTTCTGTCTCTTCTTGCCCCCCCCCCAAACAAACAATTGACTAGACTTTCTCTTCGCCAAAGTGGGTCAGAGAAAGATAAACCCCTTCTTCCCATAAAACCCAACTGTGTTCACTTTCTCCCAGCTTTCTGCCTTGCAGCTGGCCATAAAGAAATTCTCTGACACACCTCATCTGATAGTACATCATAAACCCACGTTTCAGGAGACCTGCCCCTCACCTGGAAGAAAGGAGTCCTGTAAAAGAAGAATCCGGACAGACAGGCCTTACTGGGTCTCCCCACTCAGGCTGTTAGTTTTGGATCATTCCCTTTTTCTCTGCACAGCTGTCCATGCTTCTTGGAACCTAGGCATAAAAATATGTTGTTCACTCTATGTCCTTATTCTGTCATGTAAAACTATCATCAAATAAGGTGGTTGTGCTTTTCTCTTATTAACCTGCCTTTTGGAAACGGGGTTGGCCATGACCCTTTATGACGGTAAGGCGAGGGATCACCCCCTTTCCCTCTCCTACACCCAAAACCACTGAGACTCCTTTTTTTTTGCATTTCTGTGATTCCCCTTTTGTGGGACAAGCAAACATTCTTATAGTGAACATTCTGTATCTGAGCTATCCTGAATGGGTCTCTCCGTCTTACAACCAAAAAAATTAAAAAAGGTTTCCCTCCCCCAAGATTTATTTATGTATTTGAAAGGCAGAGAGACACACACACAGAGAGAAATAGATGGAGAGTTAAAAAGAGAGAGAAATTTGCGTTTTGCTGATTCACTCCCCAAATAGCTGCAACAGTCAGGACTGGAGCAGGCCAAAGTCAGGAGCCAGGAACTCCATCCTGGTCTCCCACATGTGTGTCAGGAGCTGGGAATTGGATTGGAAGCAGAGTAGCCAGGACATGAATCGACACTCTGATGTGGGATGTGTGCATCACAAGCAGCCTCCTAACCTGCTTAGCCACAATGCCCACTTCTTGGTACTTTCTTACCCAGTTTATTACAAATGTATTTATTTACCTGAAAGTTGGAGTGAGAGAGAGAGAATCTCCCATCCACTGGCTCACTCTAAATGGCTACAAAGGCAATGACTGAACCAGGCCAAAGCCAGGAGCCAGGAGCTTCATATGGGTTTCTTATGTGAGTGGCAGGGGCCAAGTACTTGGACCATTATCAGGGAGCTGGATGGGAACTGGAGCAGCTGGGATACAAACCAGCACCCATATGGGATTCTGGCGATGCAGGCAGTAACTTTGCCCGCTACCCTACAGTGCCAGCTCCGAATATAAACATCTTTAAATCGATTGGCATCCCTTTAATCCTGCCCTCTTAAAAAGCTATCTGGGGCCGGAGCCGCGGCTCAATAGGCTAATCCTCCACCTGTGGCGCCGGCACACGGGGTTCTAGTCCTGGTCAGGGCACTGAATTCTGTCCCAGTTGCCCCTCTTCCAGGCCAGCTCTCTGCTGTGGCCAGGGAGGGCAGTGGAGGATGGCCCAAGTGCTTGGGCCCTGCACATGCATGGGAGACCAGAAGAAACACCTGGCTCCTGGCTTCGGGTCAGCGCGGTGCGCTGGCTGCAGCGGCCATTGAGGGGTGAACCAACGGTAAAGGGAGACCTTTCTCTCTGTCTCTCTCTCTCACTGTCCACTCTGCCTGTCAAATAAATAAATAAATAAAAAGCTATCTGGAGGACCTTCCCCTCCCAGCACAGAGGAGGCAGTGGCAAAGATACCCAGTATTGACAGCATAGGAAATGATGAGGTGGCAGGCAGAAGAGTTGGTCAGCCTGGTTATAGTAGCAAATAATTAAGTATCTTGAGGACAATTACAGTCAGGTTTCTTGTTTTTGGAGAGAAGATACCTATAAACATGGAAAGGGGGAAGGCTAGAAAAAACTCTTAGTTATTGAATTAAAATGAGAGCTATTCGTACAAACTCATCTTTGAGCCATCACCTGCTACCTTCCAGGGTATGCATTAGCAGGAAGCTGGAATCAAGAGTGGAGTCAGGCCTGGCTCAGCTCCAGTTGCTGGAGTCATTGGAGGAGTGAACCAGCAGATGGAAGATCTCTATTCTCTCTCTCTCTCTCTCACTCTATCTCTCTCTCTGTAATTCTGCCTTTCAAATAATAAATAGACCTTTAAAAAAAAAAGAGTGGAGCCAGGACTCAAACACTGGCACTCTGTTAAGGGATGTGGGCATGCCACATGGGGTCTTATCCACTGTGCCAAATGCCTGCTTCTTCCACAGACTTTCATCATCCCCAAGTGCTTGTAACTCAGGTAATGACAACCATAAAATTGATAAACAACAGTTACTGAGTGCTTAGTTTGTGCTAGGTACTTTACATAAGGATTCATCTAATCCCCACAGCCCCTCTACAGAGTGATTCTCTTTTTATAGAAGAAACTGAAGCATACAGTGCTGAGGTTCACACGGCTCCTGAGAGGCTGAGCAGGGACAATTGGACACCACAGCCAGTATTAGGCAAGCTTATGAGCCTGCCACTTGGTGTGAAGATATTATTTAATACTGTAGGTAGTGCGCCGGCCGCAGCGCGCCGGCCGCGGCGGCCATTGCAGGGTGAACCAACGGCAAAGGAAGACCTTTCTCTCTGTCTCTCTCTCTCACTGTCCACTCTGCCTGTCAAAAAATAAAAAATAAATAAATAAAAAATACTGTAGGTAGGCCTGGTACACTACCTGTATATGCAGGCATTATGCTAACATAACACTCTGTGATGACAAAACCTATAGGAGATGGGGGAGGAGGAAGAAGGAGTTATGTAATAAAGTGCTCATTATTGTGAAAAATAGGTCTAAACTAACCTAAATCATAATCTAGTAGATAGTCTGGTGGGGGAGTTAGAAATTAATTGTCACCATGATCTAAAATAGGATACGGGAGAATAACAAATGAGTCAGATATGGACCTTGAGTAAAAGGACGGTTGATAGTGGTGCTGGGCCAACAAGAGGGAATGAGTGTGAGCCGGCAGGGGAAGTGGACTGGGAGAAGGAATGTACGCTCCAGGCAGGCAGTCAGCTTGCACGAAGGCTGTGTGGCTGCACATGACCTGTGGCTTCCTAGGGATCCGCAGGCAGGTCCATAGGCCAGAGCAGAGGGTGATGCTTCCCAGTTGAACCTCCTGCTCTGTTTTGGCTTCTGTTCCTCCGCTTCCAGGCCATCCTGCAACATGCAACTGTGGCATTCTCTTCCCATTGTATTTTCTTAAAGATTTACTTATTTATTTAAAAGAGAGAGAGAGAGAATGAATCTTCCATCTGCTGGTTTGTTCCCCAAATGGTTGCAACAGCTAGGTCTGGGCTAGGCTGAAGCCAGGAGCCTGGAACTCCATTAGAGTCTCCTGTGTGTGCTTGAG